TTATAAATTTAATCATAAAGGGTAAAAAACAGAACAAATAGAGATTGACTCAATTTATTTTCTGTAAATCTATGCATGATTATTATTTGTCTGCAGGCCAAAATGCAGAACAAGTTCTGAAAATTAGGGATGCACCGATACCGATACTGGTATCGGTATCGGGCGAGTACTGGAAAAAGTGGTATCGGTGCATCCCTACTGAAAATGTATTATGAATTACAGTGGTGTTTGCAATAACCACAATAACGTCACAAGTGACTTTCAGCAATCCAATCAATACTAATAGATAAAATCAAATATCACTATTTTCAGTGATATATTACAACTCAGAATACATCAGCAGTTTTCAACCAGGGGGCCTCAGGAAGCCTTCAAATCACTTAAAATATTCAAATACATAAATTATTATTAATATATCAAAATAAACTGACTAACTTTAAATTAAATATATATCAACTCTTAACTTTCTGTTTAAAAGAAGCTTGAAAACAAGCAGTTATTGTCATAATTACAGCAGAAATATCAAAAAATATCCTAACTTATGTGGCCTTCAAATATCGCGTCCGACAACAAGGAGAGTTTGAGTCAAAAAGGTTAAGAACCGCTGGAATACATCACTTCATAGACGTTAAACGCATTGTGAATGCTTGCATCATGCTGTCTTTAATGCTGGTATCTAAATAAATGAAAGAAATAGTGTGACATACTTTGTTGCTTTGGACTGTGATTTCTTCCCTTCTCCTTTGTTTTTCTCTTTTTTAACTTTAATTTCACGTGGACTGATGTCATCGAAGGGAGAATGTAAGACCTGCACAAAACCAACGACTCCATATGAAAACAAAGGTCAATCAAATGAAAACGGTAAAGCCAGTTCGTGATGGGACTGAACAAACCTCTGTGGATCGAATTTTGTGTGGGTTGAGCGGCCGTTCATCTCTGTCACACTCCACCTCTGCTAGCCTGAGAATGTTATACACCGTATCTCCTGTGACCTGCAGCCAAAAGCACAACAGACAAACTGTGAAATGAAAAAAAATAATAAATAAAACAAATAATAAATAAAAACAGCAACATATGCTAATCAACATTGTTGGATAAACGAGTAAAAGTCCTTGCACACGGAGTCCAAATTTTTTCGGGTTTTTTTCTCGTATTTGTCATCCTTTCCTATCAAAATGCTTGCTACAGATGCGAAAACGCAGAAAATCGAACCTGATCCGAATTTTTGTATGATGGATGAAAGTTTCGGAGGCAGTTTGTAAACGTGATTGACACAACGTGAGGTCGTATTTATTTTTTAACGTGTGAAAATATCAGATGAGAATTTCGGACTCAGTGTGCAAAGACCTAGCTCACATAGAAATTACATTTATTTTACTGAACACTAAAAATTCAAGGCCAGTAAGATTTTTTTATATTTCTGAAAAAAAGTCTCTTATGCTCACCAAAAGCTGAATTTATCTCATCAAACATACAGTAATATTGTTAAATATTATTACAATCTAAAATAATTGTTTTCTATTTAAATTTATTTTAAAATGTAGTTTATTCCTGTGATCAAAGCTGAATTTTCAGCATCATTACTCCAGTCTCACATGATCCTTCAGAAATCATTATATTATGCTGAATTGATGCTCAAGAAGCATTTCTGATTATTATCAATGTTGAAAACTGATATAGAAGTTGTGCTGCTTCATATTTTTCTGGAAAGTGTGATACTTTTTGTTCAGGATTCTCTAATGAACAGAAAATTGAAAAGAACAGCATTTATGTGATGTAGAAATCTTTTGCAACATTATAAATCTTTTTAAAGCCAATCCTAATTA